TTTCCCTACCGACATGCCTAGGCTATCGAAAGAAACATATTTTTCTTAGGTATTTGTTATATGCTAGCTGGTCTGGATATTTTTGCTCTTCCGAAGTTGTTCTTTCTGCTTAACCCTCGCTGTGATTTCCTTGATTGTGGTGGTCCACGGTACGTGGGTCTACGTCTGATTTCGCCTCCGGTCTTCTTGGATTTGTCTTGACACCGGGTCAAGTGAATGTGTGGAACAGAGAGTAAGGTGGATGCATCGCAAGTCAGAGTCCTTATTCCATTCCCTTTGGGGCACAGGGTGGACCTTGTCGAAAACGATTATCGAACTGCCGCTAAGAGGAGATTTTTTATGATAAACTGAAATTGGCGTTTCTTCTTCTTCCTCTTCTCCTTAAAAATATATCTCTCTTTTTCAAAACAAATGAGCCTCCTTTTATTATGTTACCTATAGCCAGTCTCTAGCAACGAAACCACCACGCCTCAAGTTGATACAGTCCTCGAGAAGTTGGATGCCTTCGTCGAGAACTGCAAGGAGGAAGAGCCGAATGAAAGATTGGAGTTAGAATCTGGACTAACGAGCCTGAAGGATAAAATCTCACAGAGTAAAGGTACATCCGTTCAGTTGTCATTATTCTTGTGGTCAGCGTTGTCCATTTTTAAAATAATTTCTGTTGATCGAATTGCTGTGCGTTTTGAACAACTGGCTGCAAATCTTCTTATCCGAAAGACAAATCGACTTTTCTAATTTCAAATAAGATCTCCGCCTGTTTTTGTTTTTTTCGTGAACAGATGAGAATCAGACAGCAGCCATGGATCAGAACCATGTCTCGGCGCTGACTGATGCCCTCGATGCTTATGAGGTGAGTTCATGTGACCCTAAATGTCAAGGTGAAAAGTCTTCCGCATGAAGTGGTCACAGGGACTCCCGGGGGAGCTTGAGATAAGACCTGGAAGGTTAAAATTAAAGGACGAAGGTAGGACTAGGAAACGGGCAGATGTACCCGTCTTGGAATTCGGCGCAAGGCAACTTATAATACGGGATGGGGTTTCTGCATCGCCAATTCGTTATGAACTTGCCGGACGTCGCAACAGATCGTTTCGATCAAAGCACCACATCAAAATTCAAAAGGGGTGTATTCAGTGTGAGAAAGGGACACACGAGAATGCTCAAGATCGGACTGATATCGGACCAATCAGATAACGCCCTTGAGTGGTTATCATCTCGACTAGACTTCCGCCCCATCTGATTGGCTGGGCGGAACTCCAATCTTATTGGAAGTCGACGCAACATCAGCACACATACGCATGTCGGCGGATCGATAGGACGGCGTGCGAACAAGTCGGTTAGGGCGAGTTGACTAGGACAACTCGTCCTAACACAATTTCACTGCCTTGTCCAGTCTTCAGATGGAGCTATTTACAACAAGCATCACTGTGGGCATATCAGCTCACGTAAGAAAAGAAATGATCGCTAGCTTCCTTTAGTTGCAATATATGTCACCCAAAACAGCTGCCTGTTTTCACGGTGCAATTCTCAGCATCCTCTTATAATTATTTGGTGCAAATTAATATTATAAAAACATAAACCCGGTGGATTCCGTCGAATTGGCGCACCTCCAGTCGAAATGCTTTGCTTATTTACCCTGAGTTACAAGGGGAGGAACTGACTGAAGACTTTCACGCCGTCTGGGCCCTTTTACTCTCATTTCCGTTCTTGTGACACCTCGAGTCCGTCTGGGAATGCGCACCCCTCAGGTTGTTTTGCTTGTTGTCTTATCAGGATATCATATCAGACCTTATCATGTCTGCCTGCTCTGCCAGCTGGTCTTCAATTGTTTGATTCTTGCAAAGAAGATGAGGCCATGATCACTAGGACGGCATTTTTATTTGTCTGAGTCTTCGGCTTCATATAAGAGGCCATCTTCAGATACAATGAGAATGCAGCAAAAATGGACGTTTTTTGTAGTTCAGTTACGAAAAAATGGAGATAGGATGGAAAGAGGGTTGCATTCATAGTATATTGAGTCCGCGCCGTCTCACGTTGTCGTCGTCATGGCGTGCGTCCTTGGGAAGGAGCTGGGCCGCGTCCCTTGGCCGCGCAAACGAAGGGCGTGATAGCAGGGTGATATCTCAACATGTCTGTTGATAGATTTGGAGTTCGATGCTCAGGCCTCAAGTG